CTTACATATATTGTGTTTTTCCCCACTGTGAGTTTGTTCGTGTCTTTCACAACAACTTTGGGTGCTGAAAGCTTTCCCACATTGCTTACATATATAGGGTTTCTCCCCAGTGTGAGTTCGTTTATGATTTTGACAATATCTTTGTGTGCTGAAAGCTTTCCCACACTGCTTACATACATAGGGTTTCTCCCCTCTGTGAGTTCGAACATGACTTTGACAATAACTGTGTGTGCTAAAAGCATTCCCACACTGCTTACAAATGTAGGCTTTTCCTCCAATGTGAGTTCTTTCATGATTACCAAATGAAGTGTTATTTAAGGATTTCCAACTGTGTTTATATACATAAGCTTTTGTCCCAGTGTGAGTTCTTTCTTGTTTCTGATTGTCAAGGTGCAACTTCAAACCTCTTCCACATTGTGTATATATGGAGGTATTCACCCTGCTGTCATTTCTTTCCTGGACTTGAACATCATCGTGTGTACTGAAGGCTCTCACATCTTGCCTATATACAAAGGATTTCTCTTCAGCATTACTTCCTTCAGTACAATCACAGAATTTTCCACATTGCTTATATCCATATGGTTTTTCTTCAGGATTTTTTTCTACATGTTTCTGAAAGGACTGAAAGTCAGTGGAGGTTTTCCCATGTCTGTTATAGCTAGACAGCTTCTGTTCAAATCCATGGAGCTCATATGATTTGAGTCCAGTGTTATGTATGATCTGCATGGTTGGTGATGAATGACCAATCAGAGGCTTTCCACATGCAAGGTTTTCACCTGGTTTTATATCAAGCAGTTTCATGTGCACATTTGTATCTCGAGTCATAAAAACCATTTCTCCATGTGGATACCACAATTTATATTGACAGCATTTATCTACCTCTGCACTTCTGTTAAAAAAAAAAACAACAAAATAACCATTCACATTTAAAAGTATCTTTATATTACTAGTTTACTAGGAGGAAATGTGATTTGATGGCCCCTAAGCATATCTGATCATGAATTTACTATACACTCTGAATGATGGCTTGGAAACAGCTTTTACCAAAACAGTATTCACTTGGGAGTCTGAAGGTGGTATGTTTGCAGTACATACTGGTTACTTTCATTTTGAACAAATGGTGCATATGTATTCCATATTTTATTTTTCATACTCTTTTCCTCCATGACTCTATCCCTCCCTTTCACTGAGCTTCTTCAGCCTTTCCAAGATGTCTGCCTCTTTTTTCTACCACCTCTCCTTTATTTTACTTAATTCATACCTTGCATTTCTCATACAAAATACAACACATGATATTGAACTTTCTGTGTGTACCTTATTTAACACAGTGTGGGTTCCAGATCCATTCATTTCTTGGCAAATGACACTTCATTCTCCTTTATGGCTGCATATCATTCTATTATTTATTTATACACACCACATGATTTTCAGTGCTGGAGACTTAACCCAGAGTTTTAGCACTGAGCTACATTCTCACAGTTCTTTTTATTACGAGACTGAGTCTCCTCAATCATTAAGTTGCCCATGCTGAGCATGAATGTGACTCAGCTTCCCAGTATGTTCCATCCTGCCCTGGCTATCCCATTTTCCTTTCTATTCATCTGTGAATGGGCATCTAGGCTGTTTCCAGAGCTTCAATTTTGTAAGTTTTACTACCAGAAACATGGATATGCATGTATGCATGTAATATGATTACTTTAACTTCAGGAGAATACACCCAGTAGATGTATTGCTGGATAAAATGAAATTTCTATTTTTATTTTTTTGAGGAACCTCTCTATATATTTCCATAGATGTTATACTAAAATGACATTCCTACCAACATTATGGGAATGTGCCTCTTAATACTGTATTTTAGAACATAAATAGACCAACTGCTTTTGAGGATTGCTTGAAAACAACTATTATCAAAACAGGAGAATTCATTTTGATTTTTGAATAGTTCCTCAAGGTTACTAATGTTGCAAATACTTAATATGTATACTACATTTAAATACATGTAACATTACTTACATAATGTTTGATGAGTAAGCAGTCTTTTAAAATACCCTTGTATGTAATTGGATATCCTGCCCTTGACTCTCTTCTAAACATAAAATGTTTAATATATACCTATAATCAATGCTTAAATACAATTTCATACAAACTTTTATAATTCTGAACATGGAAAATAATTTATTATTCTACATTAGGTAATGTCACTTGTGGCATAAGGTTGATACTCCTTACATTTCAGATATTGAGATATTTCAAATATTCAATTGTCAGATTCTTGACAATAAACATGTATGCATCTTTGAAGAAATTTTGTGATTAAATAAATTTGAACATGGCCTCATTTTGTTTGTTTTTGATTTTTCAGACAAGGTGTCCCTACAGAGTTCAGGCTGGCCCTACTTCACTACATAGCACAGGCTGCCCATGAACTCCTGCCTCAGTTGCTCAAGTTCTGGGATTACAGGTACGTGCTACCATGCCTGGCTCTCTGTGTTTTTTTTTTTTGAACATGGCCTTGTTCGTGTAGTTTGCTTGGTTTTAATATTTTTGACCTTTGAGGAATATTCTTTTGAGTACAAATCACCTTAGCGTTCTCTGGTAACTTTTGTACTCATCTTCAAATTGCTGGTTGTCCCAGTTTCTGCCTAAAGTATAGAAAAAGAAATGTAATGATGAGTTACTACATTACATAAAAATTAGTAGCTTCCAGTTAGATTCACAGTCTACTCTGACGATGCCTGGAAGATTTATGAAAAGATTTCCATATTCCAACGAAATAAATTACCTGTAGAGGCCACATTCCTAAAGTTTTCCCACATCACATCTCTGTGGAGCTTCTTCTGGGATGGATCCAGCAAAGCCCACTCCTCCATGGTGAAGTCCACAGCCACATCCTCAAAGGTCAGTGCCTTCTAAATCATCAGAAATATATTTCGAGAAAGAAGAGTAAGACTCACAAAACAATATTATTATTTTAAATCTACTCATAAAAAGCTGAAATGAGGCTGAGTCCCACAAAAATTTTGATGCTGGATGGGAATTCACTGCTAAACAAACAACAGAATGGGAAGACTGGTTCTGTTGGTCAACCCCAGTTTTATTTCCACACTGTCTGTAAAGCATGGTTCATGGGGAGAGCCTACAACATCAGACATAGGGTAAAAAGAACTGGGGTAGATGAATATCTAATGACTTGCTCTGACAGAACATAGAAAACATATCTATTTTCAAATTATTATTTAGGAACTTGATCCTTGCTCTCTCTGATTATATTTAGACAGCATTGTGAAACTTGAAACTGGTTTCATAGACAAAACTGTAATTAAACAGAAAGGAAAATTCATCAATGGTAATTTAAAATGCTAATGAAAAACATTACAGTACTCACTGGAGAATGTCTAATAATGAAATTAGATTAAAGAAGACATATTATCTTATAGCTCAAGAGCATCAAATGCTTACCTGTCATAGAGATATAAAAATTCCTAAGGTGTACTAGAAAGGGAAATGTGAGGATGGACCAACCAAATGAATGCCATGCCCCTAGCCACAGTCTAGGGTTGTGCACCCAGCCCAGGGAGGATGATGGAACTGAGTGTCCCCTCCCAGCCACACACTGTGTCCCATTCTCCCAGCCCAAGAACCCCAGGATATACCAGCCAATCTGAAATTGAAGAGAACAAAAAAAAAAGATAAGAAAAATCATCCAGTTACTACTAGACAACAATAAAAAGATCAACCTAAGGCTAACTGGAGTTACAGAAAAGCTAGAAGATAACAAAAATGGAATTATTAATATCTTTACAGAAATCATGGTAGAAAAATCACCACAGATAAGAAAAGAGTTAAAAATAAAAGTATGTGAGGCTTAGAGAAGACCAAAAAACTATGGTGAAAAACAAAGCTCACCAAGGCATATACTTATTCTACTGCCAGATATCCAAAAACCATCACAACAAAAATTTAAAGCATAGAAAAACAGAAAAATCACCTATAAATCTAAACCAATTAGAATTACAGCAGACATAAACCTCAAAGGTCAGAAGAGCTTGGAGTGATGTATTTTAAGCCCTAAGAGTGCATAACTTTCAACCTAGTTTCACCTACCCAGCAATGCTGTCTTTCAAAATAGATGAAGAATTAAGGTCATTTCATGAAAAAGACCGGCTCAAGAGACATATGAATGCTAAACCAGAATGTCAGAAAATACTCAAGAATAACCTAGACAGAAACACTGAAGCCAATACAGATATTCCTCATTTAATGACCTACCTGCTTTAATGACTGTTTGAATTTACAACTGAGGCATATTGTTTCTCACTTATGGCCCAACACTCAGACTTATGACCCATCTTCATTGTTGTACAGTTCTAAACATATTGATAGAGCTTCAATGTATTTCTCTGTACCGTACACCTTATGTTGTTATATATTACAGTATGCATGTAAGTGTTACACAAATAAAAGCAAAGTCACCAAGTTGGAGTTGCCTTTGACCATTTCTTTGACCCGGATATGTACTTCAAAAGTACATACTGTATAGAATTCTTCATTTAGCATCCCATTCGTTTAGTGACCTAATCACAGGAACAGTACTCAGTTCTTAAGTGAAGAATATATGTAGCCTACTGTATTTTAGGAACATTCACTAAGCATATTGTGCAAAAAGGCATAGCATTCATGAAAAGACAAATGTCTTCAAAATATGTTTTACTTCTATAATGTCTAATACTGGAAACAAATAAGTTACCTTATATATTTTGTTTTTTGGTACTGAGGATCGAACTCAGGACCACACGCTTGCCAGGCAGGTGCTATGCCGCTGAGCTAAATCCCTGGCCCTACCTTATATATTTTGGATATTAAGCCAAAAATGCAACCTCAACAGATATGCTTTCCTTGTTTTGATGCAGAAGGCAGTGATCTGGAACACGGTTTTGAAACTGGTTGATCACATACGATACAGGCAGAACAGCTGTGACAAAGGGCCATAAAAATGTATCCATGCACTCTTTCTATTGGGCTCACATCTAAGGACTATTTACTTCCAACAGTTCCTAAGGGGAAATAAAGTTGATTCATTTGGAGTTAAATAAATTCTCAGATATAAACAAACTCTTTAGAAGTGATGTTACCTTTGAAAATTTTGGTATGCAGGAATGTCTCAGATCATATGGGTGCACATATTTACTCAAGAGTTATATATGGGCCAGGGATTTACCTCAGTGGTTTCACTGCCTGCTGCGCAAGCTCAGGGACCTGAGTTCGATCCCCAGTACCAAAAAAAAAAAGTTATATGTATACTTCTGAACCACAGGAAGCTATTAAAAAATTATCACTGCTATTCTTGGCTGTGATAGTGTTATGTGTTTAATTTTTGTCTTACCCCCTCTTAGTAAATTCCTTTAGTACATATTTTATATGTCTTTCTATCCTTCAAGGTGCTTATTGAAGAAGTGGACAGAGCAGTAGCTTCATTAATGCCAGTTTCACTAGCAAGGATATTTGTCATTTACAATGAGTTTTAGAGTCAGGCAGATTCATGTGATATCTTGTAATACTTTTGTTTCACTGATCCCCTGCAATGACCTGCAAACTATTAATAAGCCAAAATTGCATTTTAACAAACAGCTTCTAGCAATATCAACTGTGTGATCAATGTAACCTTGAAGAATTCATGGAAACTGCTAAAATGCCAGGAGAGGGCATGTGAAGTAATATAGGATTAGATGCTTTATTGATTTGCTAAAGATTACATATGGATTGCATCTGTTTGGCAAGCATGATTATTGATGAGCATATCATTGGTACAACATCCTGGGTTTTCTGAATAATTTGTATCCCTGCTTTTTCCAACATGTGTGGGATCAATATTCCCCAAACCCAGCTAATGTGATGATTTCTTGGTGGTTGCTGTATTGTATTTTAAACATTATTAGACTATGTTCTTAAGAAAAACAAATCATTTTCATCTAATTTGATAATATGATGTCTAATACATGTATTACTCATTTAACAAGCTACCTGTTTAATGACTCTTCGGACGTATGACTGAGACATAATTAAGACTTACAAACCACTGCTTAGACTTATGTATGACTTGTCTTTTCTTTTTGTACAGTTCTGTACAACTTGTTGGTGGAGGCTCAACGTCTTTATTTTGTATGGTATACCTTCTTTTATAAAGCACTATTAGGTTTGCTGATTGTAGTGCATAGTACAGTACTGTAGTTTTATGTTCAGTTATACATTACAGTACTACAGGTAAGAATTATTCAAATAAAAGCAAAGTCAAGTTTGAGTATCCTTTGATCTCAATATTGTAATGTACATACTCTATACAATTTCTCATTTAGTGACCAACTTACTTAATGAACTACTCACAGGAGCAGAACTTGGTCATTAAATGACTAGTGTCTGTACAGCTAAAAGTCCAGATAAAATGAAAACAACAAGCAAATTCAATTGGCAAACTATAACAAAAATGACAGGAAAAGAAAAACGAAGTCAAGAACAGAGAAATAATGAAATAATAGTACTTAAGATGTGTTGACATCTCAGTAATTGTATTAATGGCCTCAGCTCTTCAATTAAAAGACACAGACTGGCAGATTGCATCAATAAAACAGAATTCAGCAATATGTTGGATTCAAAGACTTATTTAATGCAACGCAATATGCATAGACTAAAAATTAAAGAATGTAAAACAGTATTTCATGCACCAGGTCCACCAAAACAAGTATGGATAGCAAGTTTAATCACAGACAATGTGAACTTTAAGCTACAGCTGATTAGAAGAGATAAAGGTCACTTACATATTAGTTAAGACAACAATCCAACAAGAATGATAATGTTTTTAAGTATTTATCCATTGAATACTGGATCACCTGTCTTCATAAAACATAATGCTGAACATAAAAGATCAAATAAATACACAATCATAAAGAAATATCAGAGATGACCCACACTCTTGGATATACGGACTTAATATTTACTATGTATTCCACCCCATTAAAGCTCAGTAGACATTCTTTTCTGCAGCACAGGGTACTTTTTCCAAAAATAGATCACACACTAATCCACAAAGCCTGCTTAAATAAAAGTCAAAATCATGTGTCTTATCAGACCACTGTAGAATGAAAATAGAAATCAATGACAGAATAAATCATAGAAAAGGTAGGAGAACCTGGAAAATTAATCACACACTCTTAAACAACTAATGGGTCATACAAAACTAAAGGTAGAAATGTCAACAATCCTGGAAATTAGTGGCAATGCCTATACAAGTCACTGTTCAACTTTGGGTCACTGTGAAACAGTTCTGTGAGGGAAGTTCACTGCAATCAATGCTCATATTACAAAAACAGAGCAAGTTCAAATAAATAATCTTACGAGAAATCTTAAAATACTTGAAAAACAACAATCCAGGACAAAAGCAAAGTTAGGACGGCAAAGTATAAAGATGAAAGCAGAAATCAATGAAATTGGGACAAAAATATTCAAAATATCACAAACTGAAGAGCTGGTTTAGAATAAACAAAATAGTTTATTCTAATAGTCCTTAGCCAGACTTAACAAGAGAAAAACAGAAAACTCATACCAATGCAATTAGAAATGAAAAAATAGAAATTATAACAGATGCTGTTAAAATGAAGATACTAATTTCTTTGAAAAATATTTCAACAAACTGGTAAATTTTAAAGAAATGGACAGATTCCTCAACTCATACAAATTACGAAAGCTAATCCAAAAAGACACAAAAAATGCTGAAAAAGTGAATAACAAGCAATGAAACAGAGACAGTAAGAAAGAATATATCAACTAAAGCACCCAGTGGATTCACTGTTGAATTTGTTGTATCATCTCTACCCCTCAAGCTCTGCAAAGAAATGGAAAGGGATGGCATACTCCC